TACTTTTCATATGCCGAACCTAACTGAATAAGTTCGACTTTGGAGCGACACTGGCGCGACATCTGATTCAGACGGCGTACCGTGTGTCGAACCTAAGTAAAGTTCGACAAAAGTTCGACAGACTCTGTCGAACTTAACGCTTTTGCCGCACCAAACTAAAACTGCCGTGCCAAATTGATTCAGACGCCGCTCTTTTGCCGTACTTAATTCATCAGTTAGGTTCGGCACATGAGTGGAGCGGCGTCTGAACCGGGCCTTACCAACCGAGGTTAATATAAGTATGTGACGCAGACCAGTGCATGCGCGAATGTGCCTTATTTATGAAATCAGTTTACTGTTAATGGGGATTTTTTCTCTTACCAAACAAAAAAAGATTACTTCAGGTTTAAGAGGAAAGGGTTTCTAGCTCTGAAACAGCAACTTTAGTATTGCCACACTACAATGATTTGTACTTCTATCATGGCCAGTGGTTTCATTGTTTTCATTACCACACAACTTGGTATTTCCTTCTCCTCATCGGCTCTACAGTAAGAAACGTTTTCTGCGGCCTAACATTAAAACAAATTGCTGAAAATTATCTCAAAGTGCCTGTAAACGCAGTACAGCCGGTACCCAATTGGTACAATAAGTGTAGCCGGTAGAGACGGTACACGTCGCGGTAATGCTGGTACACTCAAAAGCAGTCGGTGCTTCAGATTTAGTCGGTGAACTCGGTATACAAGCATATATGACATCATTTTCGACAATGTTCAAGAAATGTTCTATTATTTTCGCTAATCAGCCAACCAGACAGTCTCTGGAAAGGTACAGACGACTGATGTGTTAAGAACTACCCGTCGGGTCACACTTGGGCTCCCAAACTGAAAACAAACAAGCAAACAAACAAACAAATTGAACGCTGTAAAAGATACTGCTAATCCGTTATCACACCACGCACTGGCTTCGTCAAACTTTTTCAACTGAATGCAGGCACTTGCACCTGTAAAGGCATTTGATAAAACACAGACGTCACCAGCAAAACATTTTTACTGAGCTGCAGATAAAGAAAAATACTGATTCGGATTTTTTCTTTGCATAAAACACATTAAAATATATAAATAAACTATTATTTTATAATAATATAATATATAAAATTAAAAATATCGAGTATTATAATTGGTGACTGAAATTATCGAACAGATTTGAAGGATGAATCTTATCTCCGCCTTAGCGAGAACTTAAGTATAAAAAAAAAAAATCAATGAAAAGTCCCTGAGTTAAAATATCAATAGGGCGAGATTTAGTGATAGTAGAGATGAGCATAATTGCCCCCCAAAACAGGACGATAAACCAATAAAACTGAACTTTAAAACAATGATAATACGATCAAAGCAGGTAGGGAAGAAGGAATTGATGTTTACTGCAAAAAAATCGGGCATTAAAAAAAAAATTGCTAAAAGAATAAAAATGTAGAATGGCGGCATTCTTAGCTCAAATTAAAGGAGCAGTATCCCGTTACTGCGCATGCACCAAACTTAGATTTTTGGACAGGATGTCGAGAAATCAAAAGATGCGAGGAGAGTAAGAGAACCTTGAAAAATCCTTTTACATCCCGTTTGGCCGAGTTCAATACTACACTAAAACTTCTCAGGATTACAGATCAATGATATATTGTTCCCGTTAAGTTTCGATTTGGGCGAAATCGGGATTTCTTAGCGTTACTTTTATTGCCTTTGGCTGGAGGACCAAAAGATGGAAAGCGCTTTGATGCCGATTGAAGGCTTATGTCTTCTGCTAGCTTCCATTACAAGCCCAGATAATTGTGAAAGGAAAACGCCGAAATGAAACAGCAGCAATATACTGTAAGAAAGAAACCATTGAGACATTGATGCGACTGAGGAGATCTTGTGGAATTAGGCTTCGTGAAGTAGAATGTTTTGCAACGACGCGTTAGTAAACATTTAAATGAACCTACCTACGGCCGACAAAATCAAACAAACAGGCGCTACATGTTTAGAAAAACTAGTGCCATGAAATCATATAATATAAATTTTGACTAACCTTTACCTTTTTTTTAGTTATGTCTTTCAAACGTTTGATGCTAGAACGCGAGCAAATCAGGCAAATATTACTGGGCTTGGAAGAATTGACCTCTGACAGGAGGATCACATTAGAAAAGCTGTTTTTAAAGCGAGTAGAACGAGATTTTCGGGTCGCGAGGCTGCCCTGCTTGCGATAAAATTGGGATGAGTCTTCGTGCCGCGAGCCAAATTTTAAATAAGACGAAAGACTTCTTTGAAAGTCTAAAATATTACTTGAGATGTAAACAACAAATCTCCGTCGGCGGTGCGGTCCGGAAAGAAATCTTGTCGCATCGATATGACAATTCTATTGTCTTTCGAATAAAAAATAGATGACGCTCGCGCGTGCGCAAAATCGGGAGACTGTCCCTTTGATCTTACATACAACATTGAAGAAGACAACAGACATGAAAGTGTAAGATAAGGATGTCACAAAACTTTGCAATGTCGATGAGATCAGGTTAATTAGCCTCGTTTGCGTAAGCAGCGAGACTCATAACCTGCAACGGGTTTTTCCCCCGGGGGTAGTCCCTTATTTAGGCTATATGGGTATGTGCGGCGCTAAAGGGTATGGTTGTGCACTCTAGTTTTGAATTGGGTATGTTTTTTTAGAAGAATTAGTTACTTCTTCATCACTTGGCGATTAGACCATTTCCCTTTTAATATTTAGTTAAGGTAAAAAAATCACTGCAAAAACCTTGTACGAACAATCTTGCTCAACGTCGGATCCAAAAAAGATCAGTCAAAATAGATAACATTGAAAATGTTACAGTCAAGAAGACATTTTGCAGGGACTGATAAACAACAGGAATTGTACTTCCTGTCCCTATATTGAACATACAGGTGAGACCCACCACATCAAATCTCATATCACTTGTGAAACTTTTAATGTTATCTATTTGATTCAATGTCGCCTGTGTAATCTACAATATGTTGGAGAAACTAAACGTCACCTCAAAGACCGTTTTAATGAACACAGACGACTTATGCTCAACCCTACTGGTAATTGCATCCATACTGCAGTTTCAGAACACTTTCTTACCAGTAATCATTCCGACAATCATATGTTTTTGATTCCTATGGAAAAACTTAAAAATGGGCGTGATTCTTTCAGGAAAGCACGTGAAGCCCACCTTATCCATAAAGCTAAGACAATTGAGTCTCTGGGCATCAACAAACGTGATCAACTGTAACTATATAGTATATCTTTTATTTTTTTGTTATCTTGTCTTTTTAAGTGGCCACACCATACCACGTCATATTGTGTAATTTCCGGTCATTATTTTACTTCATATATATTTCTGTAAATTCGTGATATCTCAATAAACCTGATGAAGACTGGTATTGGCTAGTCGAAATATCGCAACTTAACTCTATTTCACGTTGTTTGATCAGTCCCTGCAAAATGTCTTCTTGAATGTAACGTTTCCCTTTTAATGTTTACGCCAACTACCGCTAACTAACAGCTTGTCACGCGCTCCGGTCACGCGCCGGGCTCCAGGGCTTCAGGTCTGAAATAGGGCATCAAATTTTTGATCAGGTCTGAAATAGGGTAGGGAAAATCACAGATTTCGGTCTGAAATAGGGTAAGGATTTCAGGAAGCGTGCCGCACATCCCCACCCAGTTTTTTTGGAAGTACCCCCCTGACTCTTTTGTCATTTTTGGGTCACAAATTCGGGGTCATTGTGCCAGGCGTTCCTTGCGGACACCGGGGAAACTGGGACTAAGAATAGTTCCGTGATCGAAGCCACGCATGTTTTGCGAAGAAAGCTTAGGAAAGATTAAATTTAGAGCTTTTCCGCAACGTGTCGGTCCACGAATTCTATCGTTTGAAAGCGTCGATTACTTTGGAGCAAGTGAACACTACTGAGTGGTGGAAATTAACAAAATTGCGATGGTCGGGTGTTGTAAACTTTCACTGTATGCAAATGAGTCTTGTGATGAGCGTGCGACTTATTTTCGGCCATGATTGAAATGACGTACCATGTAAATCATTTTTTGGATCTCTGACAATGATGTAATTTCTCTGGAATCGAGGCCGTTGAATTTTCGCGTATTTATACACGCGTATAGCCTGCGACCGCAGAGGTATTTTTGGTCGTCACTAACACGCGTCCTAAATCAATTCTGAAACAAATAAAAGGTATCGACGTCGATAAAGTAGGAAGTAAAAAACCTTTAGCGAGTAAATCATGTTTCTTGTAGAATTAGTCGCCTCCTCATTTCTCGATCTAATCTCCAAGCAGGCGAGATTGGAATGCCGCTGTAAGTGCGTTCTTGTTGTCTCTCAATATGTGAAAATTGGACTGAGGAAATAAGGAAGAAAATTGCTGTGGCAAGCGGTACAAACTAACAATGGTAAAGTTCCTGGGTCTAGAAAAACTCTGAGGATTATTTGGGCGAAGTATAAAACGAATAAATCTAAATGAGAACGACTTCGTTCATCGAAAAAAAGACGCAAGGTTAATCTTGTGGCCCTCGGAAAAGACACGTTTAATCAAGAATAAATCGAAAGAGAGAAAACGCACGAAGAGGAAGAAAACAAAGCAAAGCTACCCAATGTCTTAGTCAATATACTAAAGGCTGGAAACTTGTATGGTGTTAGACACAGAGTGTTTCCAGAATGTGGTCAAAAATAGAAATGAGGTCCACTAAGATAATAAACCGAGCCTCGATACAGCGACTACTACTAAACTTGGACTTGCACACAGGGGGAAGAGGCGGGAGGGTTGTTGTTGTTGAAATTGGAAATTAGATTACATCTAAAATCTGTCATTGTGCCTCGGAAAAATCGTCACAGAGTAATGCTTAAATTGCACAAGCAACTCATTTATATAGATATTCATTATCTAAAGAGACTATAGGCACAGCGTATGTTATACAAGCCAAACCTACATAGGTTTAAGGTTTGCATCAGACATAGTATCAAACACGAAACTTTAACTCTTACCTCTCGTAAAAGCTTTCAGAAAATGTGGTTGAAATTCAATGGCAACTTTTGCATCATTCACCGTTTCAGAGTAGTTACCTATGGAAATAAAATACAGAACACACTTTGGAACAGCTCAGGTAGGTTTAACAGAGCAAAGGGCGGGGATACGATTAGTCAACACGGCACACTGCAACAACTTCAGTTCAAATAACAACTAAACTCCTTAGAAAGTTTCTGCGTGCACCAGTCAACGATGCTAATTTTCAATAGAAAAAAATATTAAGAGGCGGTCTCCCTGAAAGCGTTCCACTCGATTTTTATGGAGGCCCGTTCTGGTCAAAATTAATATAATAAAATGGCATCACAAGTGACTTTTTCGGTCATTGCAGCATTTATTATGGACCCGTTGTGTATTTTTTGTCATCACTACACAGGATTTTTTTTGTGTGTTGTTATTTTTTTTTTGAGCTGCATGAATTATTTTTTATTAAGGCTGTTTACTTTTTTTATGTTGTTGTATGAATAAATTTTTCATGCGTACCACAAATAATTTTTTAGTGGTACCGCGAATTATTTTTAATACAAGTATGGAGAATTTTTTTTTCGTCGTGCTGATAATTATTTTTCGCTGTATCGCGAATTTATTTTTGGGCCTACAATGCTTTGCGGGCCTTGCAGTTGAAGTGGAGTGGTTCGAGTCTTTGACTTCCTTGGGCGACCATTTTGAAAACTTTGAAGTGGAGGAGTGCTTTGAAAGAGAATGCCAAGGCGAAACATCGTCAGAGAAAGAAACAAAAGAGGTTTTCATCTTTCTTACAAAATCTGTCAGGAGCCAGTAGTCTTTGCCGTTCGTGACGAGGTTTTCTGGACCGAAGATTTAATAGAGGAGACTACGAAGCGACTTCACGACTCGTACACAATTCACACCCTTATTCAGAGTGTCCAGTTCCTATTTTTTCCTATTCTTTGGGCCTGTTCCTATTTTCTCCTATTTTTAAACTAAAACCGCATATTTTTCCTATTTTTTAGCCGGTGAAGCTAAAATCTGTAACAAAATTGAAAATGAAACTATAATTGTATGTATTTTTGAGTGAAACAGTTACGTTTGTTCTTTCCAAGACCTCTATTGCCTGTTAGAGTTCTGTTAACATTTTTGTTATATCGTTAGTTTTTGTATAATTTTCTAGTGTACCTACATGTGCATGTATTGTATGTAGTGTTATAGTTCTCCTCCTGACTATTGATTAATATTGTGTATAGCCCACTGAAACTGCATTTCAGTATCTGTACATATTATATTTTATTTTGAAGTCTTGCTCGCTTTTATGTTCATCTTTGAAACTGAAAACAGGATCAAGTTGTCCTCTCACAACACAGGCCAATCCAATCAGCATCTTGTTTTAAAAACCAATCATGATCACTAGCTGATTCTGGATGCTACATGAAAAGAACAGACTAAAGTTTAGTTTACGGCGCTAGCTCTCTTGGTGAGCCCTTCCTAACAGCTATACCTAAGCAACTGATGAAGGATCCAATATTTTGGTTGCAAAACCGGTCTTGCAGTCATAGCTAAGCAGTGTTTCTTAGAACTTAACCATGACAAACTTACAATCTGGTACCAAATAGATCAGTGTCATTTTGCGTACACCGCAGAAAGCCTGGTTTCGTACTTAAAATTATGCGGTGTTTTGACTCAAACAAGCATATTCTCAACCAGCTACTAATTGCAGATTAATGGAAGGAGAGCTTTCCATAGGACTTTTACGTTCAAGTTCGATATCCTTCAATGACAACTCAATCGTGAGAAATTTCTATCCTAAGAAATTTCACTCTTCAAAGCTTTTCAAAGATTTGCCGCCAACTTGAGGGGAATTTGCATATAATCACTTTTGATTATAGAACCACGCTCGACCTGTACTCAAGCATATCATTCTGATTATAGCGTAACTGAGGCAATAAACTAAACGTTACTGATCATTTTTACTCCTTCTTAGCCGCGAAAGTTGATCTCAATCCTGCGAACGTAGAATCTGAGGACTTTATTATAACCCTGATGGGGTGCAGGGAAGCTATCTTTGTCCACAAAAGTACTATTGATTTTCCTATTTTTCTTCTATTTTTTAATAAAAGTTTCCTATTTTCTCAATGCTGAGTCTCCTATTTTCCTATATTTTTGAGCAACCATGCCGCTGGACACCCTGCTTATTGCAAATGACATGTCTCCCCAATTGAACAGTTCTCTACCCAATCTTCGTCCCGTATTACACATGCTGGCTTTCGGAACGAAGATGCTGTGAAATGGAATGCCCTCTACCCTGAACTTCAGGAAAAATCTCCCGATTCAAATACTGACGGGCAGGCATAAGAACTAGCAGAGCCAAATGGATTCGAGATAGAAGACCTTCGCAGAGTGCTAGTGAGAGTACACCTCACTAACTCACTAACATGGGGAACTTGCTCGAGTGCCTTTACGATGGCAGTATAGTAGTTCCTGATTTTTAATATTATGTTTTTAATATTCGGAGATGAATGAGTCTGTCCAACGTCAGACACCTGAGATATATAGCCAAGAATGCCATAACATAAATATTAGATAAATCAATCGAATTTACCATTTAGTGAGGTCTAGTCTAACTAGCACTCAGCAAAGGTCTTCTCCCTCGAGTCCATCTGGCTTTGCTTCTGATGCTCGCCCGCCTGTATTAGAATCGGGCGCTTCTTCCTGAACTTCAGGGTAGGGGACACTATCATTCTCTGCGTCTTCGTTCCGAAAGCCAGCATGTGTAGTACGAGACGAACACTAGAGGTACAAGACCGGGTAGAGAACAGTTCAATCGGGCAATCATGTTCCGAATAAGGGTTAGAATTGTGTACGAGACGTGAAGTCCCTTCGTAGTCTCCTCTATTAAATCTTCGGTCCAGAAAACCTCATCACTAACGACAGACTACTAGCTCCTGACAGATTTTGTAAGAAAGATGAAAACCTCTTTTGTTTCTTTCTCTGACAATGTTTCGCCTTGGCATTCTCTTTCAAAGCACTCCTCCACTTCAAAGTTTTCAAAATGGTCGCCCAAGGAAGTCAAAGACTCGAACCAGTCCAATTCAACTGCAAAGCCCGCAAAGCATTGTAGGCCCAAAAATAAATTCGCGATACAGCGAAAAATAATTATCAGCACGATGAAAAAATAATTCTCAATACTTGTATTAAAAATAATTAGCGGTACCACTAAAAAATTATTTGTGATACGTATGAAAATTTATTCATACAACAACATAAAAAAAGTAAACAGCCTTAATAAAAAATAATTCATGCAGCTCAAAAAAAAAGTAACAACACACAAAAAAAGTCCTGTGTAGTGATGACAAAAATACACAACGGGTCCATAATAAATGCTGCAATGGCCGAAAAAGTCACTTGTGATGCCATTTTATTATATTAATTTTGACCAGAACGGGCCTCCATAGATTTTGGACTCGAAAAAACTTTTGCCTTATATTTTTATCATCAACACTACTATCCATCCTAATAACGAAATTGCAGTTAGAATGAGGAAATTGTTTATTTTACTGCCATTCCCAGCAATTTCATTGCTGGACGACCGTTAGAGGCTAAAATATGCAAATTTTAGTTTCTGTTATACAGGTTTTTGAACGATAGTTCTAAAGTTCTTTGGGTCATCAAATCCTAGACTATTTGGACTCATTTGGAAGCATATTACTTCTTCTTACTGTTCCAATACCATTTAGGCATTATCTTTCTGTAATCAGCAAAAACTGGTCATCTTTATTTCGCTAATCCAATGAAGAAAGCAAAGTGCGCGAAAAAATGCCTCAAAATCACCTGAAAATTCTCAAAAGTGGCACCTAAACTAGACCTAAAAACATGTTTTAGTTAAAGATTAATAGCTATTTTGTCAAGTTATGCAATAAAACTTGCGGCACAACGCGATTCAGAGTTGAAGGTTTCAAGTCAAATTTAGGCAAATGTTCAATTTGCGTTGCGTGACGATACCGGCTGTTGTCACAGCAAAATCCTCAGTTATTCAAATACTTGCCAATTTTAAGTAAGATATGCCTCATTTTCCCACCAAAACTATATTGAAATTCCCCTTTTCCCTTTTCCAATGATATATATTATTCAAAAATTAGTTCAGCAAGTAAAAGATACCTTTCCAAGCTTCATTTAATTTCCCACTGCCGTGAACATTCGTGTTAAGTCTGTTATGTCAAGACGAAAAATACCTTTTCAGAACCAAACCTCTTCTAGCTTAAAATGTGGTCCAGTCTGAAAAAGCTACATTGACCAGAAGTTACTCCGATCCATTATATTATAAAATCGAAGGTTAAAAGAAAAGTAAATTTCCCAGTGCTTAATTAAATATGCGTGAACGGGTCAGAAAATGTTTGACTGGTACTTCCCCCCATGTAAGGGTATCCGGATTCCGGAATCTGAAAAATTTTTGCTTGTAGGATCCAGAATCAGGAGAAATTTTGCTTATGGAATCCAAAATCCAGGGCTTTGGAATCCAGAATAGAGCTCAAGTACCTCACTAAGGAATGAAATCTAGAATCCAAGTTCCACAGGAAAAGACTGGAATCCAGCACCCGGAATCCTGAATACATGGAATGGGATCCAGAACGTCAAGACTGTCTTGTATTCACTAACGTTGGGCGATAGTACTGGACTGTGAACGGCGAATTACTATTTTTCCTTTATGAACCTTCCACTGATCAGGAGCCCACATTTGAAGACCTTTTGTAACGACTACCACGCGTTATTCCCGAATATTGATTCGTTATTGATTTAATTTGTATTGTATTACGTTAAACTGCAAGATGACGTTATTCCTTGTCCATTAGGGACGTGATTACTTAAGTTCCGCTCAAACCGCATTTTTGTTAGTTGGCTTTGTTTGGGCAAACGATAAGTCGTGTTCGTCGTTAGAACAGTTTGTCCACTTTATCTTTGGAGTTTTTTGGTCAAGCTCTTACAAGCGGGACTGTTATGTAAGTGTTTAAGTTTCCTTTTTATACCTAACCTTTTCGATAGACTCCTTTAGCTTACACCAGTTTTTTCATCGCATGTTTTCCTCAACTATGTTACCACGTGACATAAGTTGGTTGATGTTACTTAAAATGTTACTCACCTTTCACTTGGTTATCAGTACGTTTTAGAGTTTGTTTTTCAGAATCTTTTCGGTAGTTTGTCTCTTTTGTTTTATATAGTTTCATAATTTCTTTGTATTTCGACCTTATGACTCTACGGATCTTTATAGTATATCGAACTGTTTTCGCTTTGTTATTAGATGTATCTTTTTATAATCTCGAATTTTGTACTTGTTAATTCGTTTTCGATAATTTTTTTTAAAATTTTGATTCGTTTACCTTCTTAGTGTTACTTGCAACTTTGCAATGGAATGATTGGAATGTAGTTTGTACGTTAGAAATTGGCTTAGCCTTTTTTTGTATTTCATGTTTCAGTTTACGATAAGGACTTGGATCCTATGATCACGTTGAATAAACGATTCAAGACTCTTGTCCGTAAAATATTTCCTCGCTTTATAGTGTGTCGTCGCTTGCGAACTCAAGGTCGTTGTCGTAAATTGCTTCGCTTGTGTTGGCCGCTACACCTTTGTTAATGAAATTTCAGTTAGAAGGTTTTCTTCCTTTTACTGACTGTTTCTTCCTATTAAGAGTGGTCAGCTTTTGGTTTCAAGCTCCAAGAAACAGTCCGCAGTCCAAGGCTACTTTTGTGTCGCAGCCAGTTAATAAAGAAGTTGGCACACGCAAATAATGAAGTTTCAACATTAATTTCGACTCGTGCAACATCAGGGAAAGTAACAAGAAATTAAGTGTGGAAGTTCACGCGGTTTTTCCCAACTGATAAAAGTAGACGAAAGTCAGGACACCATTACTTCTCACCATGAAACCTGTGATCCATCGAAGTCTGAACTAAGTGAAGCAGAGCCAATACTCTCAAAAGATGGTAATTATTGACCTTACGAAATATCAAGTGGAACAGATGGTGATCTGCTTCCCAAGGAGAACTCCCATACAAAAGTGACGCGGGTGCTCGTCGTTTGCAGATTTTGGTCTCACTTCGGTTGTTTGGGACGGAAAAAAAACTAAATATGCTCTTTCAGGTATCGCTTAGGGCTGTGCATAAAGAAATTTGCAAAAAAAAAAAAAAAAAAAAAAAAAAAAGCCGTGACTCTGACCTCACAGAAATCTCCTTTTAGGGGTCAGTTTAAGCTGGAGCCACACCCACATTGGCCTCCCTTAGGGGTTTGAATTAATTTTCCGACGAGCAGCCCCTTCACGTTTATATGGGAGTCCTCCCGAGGATTACCCACAAATATCGGCATATAAACTCGGACGATTTTGGCGGCCACCTCGTTCTTCCCATAGAGGACCAAGAAAGGAATATTATAAGGACCAAGGGCAGGCATGTAATTGGTTTGGAGATTGCGAAGATCGTATACCATCTATTTTAAAGAATGGGATCACGTACGTATAAAATCGTAAAATCATTTCTAAAATCCTTATCACTAGTTCGTTTATCTGTGATAAGATAATGACGAAAGGGCCAATGGGTATTGTCGTTATCATAATTTCAAATTCAGACAATGATAAACTCAGTAGTCCACTCAATTTTTTTCTGTTTAGAAATATGCGGGAAGTGAAGATCCAAGCATAATGAAGTTATGGCGAAAAGTAGGAAGTGGCTTCAAGTCAAATATGCTGATATTAATCACTGTTGCACTTTATAATGGCATGAAGTTACACAGTCAGCTGATGCACTTGCACATTTGATATCATTTATGAGCTCACGGGTTTGAATATCACAAGATACAAGCGTGCATATCTAAACCTTGTGGAGTCGAATTTAAATTGTCAAAATCGTGATTACCTGCCTTTAGGCATATTACTCAGAGTACTCATGACAATTGTTTGGTACCATGGAGAATTCACCGACAGAATTTTCTATTGAAGCCCAACGTGGACGAAAACCTCTGAATTCGCGGAACAATCAGTAGAGGTGAGAACTGACGTGAAGTTTGAATCCGGCATTGTCGAAGGTTTCCCCAGCATGAACATTTCTCCAGGCCGAGACCCCTACACTGTTTTTACGTCTTTTCTTTTCTCACGCCTTCTACAACGCAGCATAATTGCATTCTACCACGTTAATGATGCAAAAATACATACATCTGAACAACAGCTGAAGGATCTAGGATCAGTTTTTTAATAATCGGCCTTTGGACCCTCCGTGTGGATCCAAATTCATGTTGATATCGATTTTACTAAATTAGGCGACACTGCGTTCATCAATTTGGTTTTTGTGATTCCGGTGCGGCGCTCATTTGATACACCGGTCTACTGCGGACAATGTTGTTAAGCCACTCAGAGAGGATCTTATTGCTTTTATGTCTCAGCATACCGAGATGCTATGACAAAAAATGTAAAAAGACTCAAATACTTCACAAATCTTATGAAAAAAAAAAAATACAAAAACAAAAAACGAGCGAGATTGCATGCGACGAAACGAAGATCTGGTACAAATTTCCCTAAAATAGTCAAATATAAATCCCCTAATCGTTCAAAGCTTAACAACTTGACAGGCGAACGGTTTTATTTAGAGGTAGTATATACAGGTTACAACCGAAGACTGTAAGGCTACTCAGTCACTTCACTCACTGTCCATCACGGAATTGATAGCGTACAGCATTACCAGCATAGCACTAGCACTAGCACTGTACAAAGACAATCAGATTTGTGATCGAAGGCCGCTAGATTTATACATCTAAAAATTTATACTAATATCAAATTCCTAAAGGTATCTGGATACTAACTTAATTCAATATACGTTTCAAAGCTGATTTCATTTTTTTTAAGGGCAAATAACAATTTTACTTGATAAGAATTTATACGTACGAGACTTAGCGGGTTGTTGATTTTACTTCTTTGAACTCCAGTCCATATTTTCTTAATTTTTCTTCAAGGACTACCGTGTACCATCGTCCCATTCATATATTGTAAAGGTGAATGTGTGAAGGACCTTCTCGCTGCAAAATGTAAATACTTCCACCTGTCACTAGACAGGAGAAACATGGTTCTCGTTAATGTTATCTGTAAAACAAAAATGTTCGTTTAGAACGCGATTGAAGTATGTCGAATAGCCTCTTCCAGGCGTTCAGACTGATGGGACGAACCTCTGAGAGATGCGAGTAAAAAAAGGGCGAGGGGGTGGGTTAGGGAGTAATGCGTATTTTTCCCGACCCACTCTACTACCAAGAAGGCCATCTACTGGGAGTCGAACAAAGGACGGCCGGCCTGCCGAGACTATTAATGCGAAGGACAGTTGAAAAGTAAACTTAATCTTCTATAAGCTTAACCTATTTCCGATTTTTCTTGTTGATAAAGTAAACAAAAAAAAAAAAAAAAAGAAAAGAAAAAATGCCATTTGTAGGATCATGAAGAATTTTTTTACTACCACAGCGGCCGGTGTCACGCAACGTGAATTCGGCATTAATATGCAAATTTAAGTCGAATCCTTCAATTCTGAATCGCGTTGAGCCACGAGTTTTATTTCATAACTTGACAAAATAGCTCTTAATCTTTAACTAAAACCTGTTTTTAGGTCTAGTTTAGGTGCCACTTTTGAGAATTTTGTGATTTCTTTGAGGCATTTATTCGTGCATTTTGCCTTCTTAATTGGGTTAGTGAAATAATAAAAGACGACCAGTTTTTGCTGATTAGAGAAAGATAATACCTAAATGATATTGGAACAGAAAGAAGACGTAATATGCTTCCAAATAAATGAGTGCGAACAGTCTAGGATTTGATGACCCGAAGTACTTTTAAACGATCGTTAAAAAACCTGTAAAACGGCATCTAAAATTTGCATATTTTAGCCGCTAACGGTCGTCCAGCAATGAAATGCTGGGAATGGGAGTAAAATAAACAATTTCCTCATTCTAACTGCAATTTCGTTATTAGGATGGATAGTAGTGTTGATGATAAAAATATAGGGCAAAAGTTTTTTCGAATCCGAAATCGAGTGGAACGCTTTTAGGGAGACTGCCTCTTTAAAATACCTCTTATTACCCGAGATTGAGATGTGTTCTGTAAATTACGGACCGAGTTTTTTTGTTTTTTTTTTCATCGATTTATAGCTGGCCTGTGCCATGCTCTCTGTCAGTGTCGACAAGCGAAAAAAGCCAGCGAGCAGTGAAATACTGAACGAGCGAAAAACGGTCGGAAGAGAGAGAGGGGCGAGCCTGTAAGCATCCTTTCAAATACCTCAATCCGCCCACTTCCTGAGAAACCGTTCCTCGTGTCAAAATGTCAAATGTCTAAACGTCAAAAGGTGCAGTATAGTAGGGTTTTAAATGCTCGACATGTTTGTTACAACTTCTTACCCAAATTAAAATGTGCTGCCGCTCTGTTGCTGTACAGTTTGGCGTTAAGATCTTGATCCTTACAGTTGACATTAATTCCTTCAGTGTAGTAATTAATGGCGTTGTTGAAATTCTTCTTGTTGTATTCACGGTTACCCTCAGTTTTGTAAACCTCAGCAATAGCTACAAAGGAGAAAATTTTAATTATTATAATTTTAGGTTTTCAGTCAGACTTTAGTTCTACTTCCACTAAAATTTACCTTGATCTCATTATAAATTTCTGCCACCAGAAACCAAATTATAACATTGCAATTTAAGTTTACGAAACTGATACAACTTCATACAATTCATCAAGGTTCTGACTGATAATAATATTAAAGCCCCACAACTGACAAGGAGATAAAGGCTCATACATTGGTATATATAAAACCGAGAACAATTCTTCGTCGTTGATATTATATTACAGAAAGAAAATAGTCTTTTAAATTCTCACCTCTTAAATTGCTATCATCAAACTGTGTTTCCTCAGCAGCTGATGTGACGTCATTTCCTTTTGTAGCTGTGTTTGCATTTCTCTCCATGGCGGAATGCTTTAAGATTTATAGCACGTTAACTTATTATGATGTTTGTCTCCAATGCAAGCGCGGATCCTACCGGTTTCTACCGTTTACAGAAATTTATATTTTTCATAACAAATATGTTTTTAATAATAAGAAGAAAAAACTTTCCACGTTGAAGTCTTTTCACAGACGACATTGATAGAACTCGCCTTGCTCCATATTTACTACAACATGGAAATTGATCTTTATGAAACTATAATCTGCCAATTTTTGCAACAGAGGAGAATGGAACTGACCAATATCCTGTGTGAATGACTCAGGAATCCAGAAAAGCGGACTTTAGGCGGTTAAAAATCACAAGCTTGCACCGGAAATCGGCGCTTGTTTAGGAAATCGCTCACTCTTTGTCCTAGTCCGCGACCGTAATGCATTTATGTTAGTAGCACTTATATTTTCTTATAGTTATTTTGGGCGCTTTTTAGCTTTGTAGAATATGATATGCTCCATTTCAATTCAGTGTAGTGTGGAAAGCACATATCAACGCCAGAATAATACCGTCTTGTTATTGCTATGACAGATATCAAAATCAGAAAAGGCTGTTCAAGATGTCATCTCAGCTCGCTTCGGTTTATTTCAGTCCTAAAAAACATGTACTAGTAAATCAAGACACTCACCTGTCTCTTAGAGGCGGCCAGCGACGGAACTTGCATTCATCCAGCATTCATCTTATCTACATGAAGTGAACGTGAACAAACATTCTATTCGAAACGGAGAGTTCGATCAACTACTAAAATATTAAGTAGGGTTTTTACCCTTACTTTCAAAAATCAACATTACCGATTTTCAATACCTCGATGGTTAGCAACTTGTGCAAGTCAAAACATGTTCCTTTGCCTTGTTCGCTCTCATGATTAGTGTTTTAGATTTGAGTTGTCACTTATATTCATTTGCTAAAATATAGCGTTAAAAGATAAAACCAAAACCGAGCGATGGAAAGTGAAAGTGGTAAAAATGTCGAGTGTTTCTGGATGTTACGGAAACCATTGTTGGTTCGCTTTTGTTTTGTGGTGTGGGTATTTTTCGGTGTCTTTTCACCCGTATGTATGACGTCATTCAGTGATTCCACCTGTCCGTAGCACCAAGAAACTACTAAAATATTCTGTTGTCTTAGTGCCCGCCAAAGAAAAAGAATGAGAAATTGAGTGTGACACGCGACGGCTATTATTTTGTCACAGACTTGACTAAATTTGTCCAGCAAAAGATAAAAGAAATAATGTGGTAGAGGTTTAGTTTATTTTAAATGCTTTCACTCATAGCTAACGCTGTATTTGGCATCAAAAGATTTTAAACTAATCCGCTGAAAGCTTCCACTATAACTGGTTTATAACTTTGTGTAATATGCCTATATCTACTATTTAAATACTAAAATACGTTTAACAATGCTATGTTTAAGTGGTTTTGAACTATATTTTCGTCGGGTGCCCCTGAATCTATAAAAAATTCGAGGCAATTTTTGCTTTTCTGAACAGATATTTCACAGAAAACAGTCGGCATTTGGTGCCCCTGGGATTACACTTTTTTCTTCGTAATATATTTCATTTTTTCTCTTCAAATAAATATTTTTGTCTCAGTTGCGTGTTTATTAGAACGGCATTGTAGAATGCGCTTCATGGGTCCTTATCTAATTCGCTTCTACACAGCAAAAAACCAAACAAATCTTTTCCATGTGATGTACGGCCTTGCAAACATCTGATATTAGTTCACTGATGAATCTCTCCCAGAAATTAATTTCTATTTCGAACCGTCTTTTCCTTACTGTTTCTTATAATAACAAACCCAAGCAACGACACTGATTAGAAGGAAAAAAGGACGCAGTGAGCGTTATATCAAAAAATAGTTTACCAACCTTAAACGCAAATAAATCGCTTCATGACTTCTTCATGACCGTCAGATGAAACGAGAAAGCCATTATGCATCAATTACACGAAGGCTTGGATATTTTGCCTCCCCACTATTCACCCGCATAATCAAGACTAGCGACTGTTGACGTGGACTTTGCCTGTTACAAACAAAAGGAAATGCAAATTAAGGGAAATTTCCCTTTTTCTTTCGGACTTATCAAACATCATCCTCGGAGACCCAGGGGCGGTCAGTCGGGCCGGGAGAAATAGCGCGACAAAAGTTTCAAGTACAGGCGGAAAAGCCCCTGGGTACCGACTCTCACCGGACCATTTCCAAACGGTCAAGCGAATGCTGGCTCCTGATTGGGCACAAAAAATACTTTGTATTATTGTGCCTAATCGGCGAACAGCATCTCCTGAGTTCTTTTCGTGAGCTCGTACACGACAGCTATTGACTCAATTACGGCTTGTCTGGCTCGCGCTCATGCACCAAAGAAATGCACGCGATCAGGAATCTTTCAGTTTGATATAACCGCTGCATTTCAAAATACTGGTAGTCTTTACACTAGGGCCTAAATAAGCTAACAAATATTTCAAGACAAGTAAATTTTAAATTCTTCAAGTAAAAGAAAGCTTCACACACAACCTATCCTTTTTACTTCAGTTTTTCCCACGCAACGTAATTAAGATTGATTGACATGCTTCGCCTTTCTGAAAGCTTGGAAACCGCAAGTTTGCTAAGTCGGTTTTAATGAGATGCAAAGCAAAGTTATTTGAGATTTTGCTTAGGCCTTCGCACGCGCAATTTTGGTTAAGTAAAACTTAGCAGCTCTTAAGTCTTACTTAACAGCCTAGTGTAAAGACAACCACTTTCCACACGAAAACTAATGACGCTTTTCCAAAAATACAAGCTTGACGAGCTTACAAAAGGTATTTACGCTTGCATCGATCAAGCTTTCTTAAATATATGCCGCGACAGCTAAAAACCACGAAAACGTCGCATGAAGAGTGAACTCACATTTTTTCAGTCTCTATCGTGATTAGACTATTCCAACTCACTTACTTTGTCAAATGCAAGCGAAATCTTCTGGAATTAAATTTCTATCAACCATATCCAAGTTCATAAAGAGAAAGAAAATTTTGTCATTGCTTGTTTACGTCCTTCACTAAACGTGTGAAATTAGGCATTTTCACGTGGTAGTCGTGCAGTGACGGCAAAGAAATATATGCAAAAAGGGTGATGCACGTGCAAAGTTGTTGTGTTGCCTTGTCAAGCTATTGCTTTTTTTACTTTCTCGTCGCCGCTTCATCTTGAACTTCCTAATATTTACGACACATTGTGATCCGTCAGAAACAGAATTTTCTCAGTGCAAATCGGCTCCTGCTGATACCATCCGAAACGTTTTTCGACTCATCGGTAGTTCCTTTGTTTCTGGTCATAGGAAAGCTTGGTGAACGAACCGGGCAACTGTGGCGAAATAATAGCCGTCGTGTACGAGCTCACGAAAAGAACTCAGGAGATGCTGTTCGCCGATTGGGCACAATAATACAAAGCATTTTTTGTGCCCAATCAGGAGCCAGCATTCGCTTGACCGTTTGGAAATGGTCCGGTGAGAGTCGGTACCCAGGGGCTTTTCCGCCTGTACTTGAAAACTTTTGTCGCGCTATTTCTCCCGGCCCGACTGACCGCCCCTGGGTCTCCGAGGATGATCAAACATAACTTGACTTTCAATCGGAAATACTGCATTATGGCTTGTGAATTTTAATAAAAAATCGCCCAATCGAAAAAAATTAGAATTGGGAACAATTTGCTTTAGATAAAACGTTTTATTATAAGGCTTAGTTCACGATTTGTTATGAGAAAAAAGAAGATTTGTGATATCAAAATATTTGAAACTTTTGTCAGTTCTGTGGTTGGAATGTTTTACGAAAAGTATTCTTTTTATAATCCCAATCTGTTGTCTCCAAAGGGTCAATAACTCGATCAAAAGAAAAGCAGAACAAACTTAGGTAGAGTAAAATGCAAAAATGGAAAATGTCTCTTTCCAACCTCGTTCCCGGGGGTCCTCTCCTACTCATCTGAGTTCCGAGGAGCGAGTAGGAAGGGCCCTAGGAACGAGGTTGACTCATTACTTTCAAGAGTATGATGTCAAAAGAAGCGTTAAGTTCGAAACGTCGAAACGTTTTTGCATATTTTTAACGTCTTATTTATTTTTTTAAATGGTGTTAAGAAAAGCTTTTTCGCACTTTTTTTTTGTTATAGCTAAGTAAGACAAATATGATTTTGCCATCGTGAACGGTCTGGATCTCTAAAACCGCGCTTTCGACAACCCATAAAAGTAAGCAAAAATAAGCCAGAAGTGATAACATGAAAACTATGGCTGTGTTCACACTATACCGGATAGCTTTTCGTGGCGCTACAAATATGTGACTCTTGGAACCCTTAGCCCATAACAGAGTTAAATCAAGTAAATTCCGTTACCCTGTATTAGACTAAACTCCCTAAAATCCCCCCCCCCCGAATCCTAGAGTATCCGTTTTCCAGAAACTTCTGAGGTCACTAGCACAGTCCAACCAAAACAAAACCGATTTGATTCTTTTTATAGTTTTGAGTGGCAATTCCTAGTTCCTAATTCCCCTAGTCTAGACTCAAATATTCCAGAGAAAGAGCAATGCTTCCCCTATCAATCTGTGAAATAAAATTTTGGGACAATTCAAACTGCAAGTTTTTAAAACTGAAACATTTACGGTACTCGCGCGATTTACGACCTTTGAACTTGCAGTTGGCCTGATGAATACAAGCGAGAACTTAGACAGCATTTGAAACTCTGGCGCAAATTCGCCTCTTTTCCGCAAGTTTAAACACCTAAAACGATTCTAGATTTTACAGTGGTAATTTTTCAAAAGGAAAAGCATTTTATTGTGCGAAAGTGAGCTATGAACTTCTTGACTACAACAATTCCCTTGCGTGCGTATTTGTTTACTTTTAACGTATTTGTAACAGCCATCATTTATGTACAAAACGGCTTAAGTGTCGGTAGCTATTCTTTAAAATGCTTTTATTTCTCAGGAAACAAATCGTTAAAA